TCATAACTTTCATTCTCTCAAACTCAAAACACTCGAAAGATCTTTACACTAGCTTTTAGCGTAGTGCACAAGTAGCGAGCAAACTGAGGAAACAGGAGACCAACGCTGAAAAAAAGCCGAATTTAGGGGTAGGAATAAATCATGATTATTCAAGGTTAGTGCACTCAACACAATAATCCAGCAGAAGCTACAAAAGTTACAGGTACGTACGGGAGTGACAGCTGTAAAATTATGGTTAGCGGGCGGCAACACACGACGAAGTCGGGTGTTGTCGCCAGGGCTAGCTTAAATAAAAAGAAGGTTATAATGAAGGAATGATACCGGGCGGCAACACACGACGAAGTCGGGTGTTGCCGCCAGGGCTACCTTGAAAGAAGGGTGCAATCTCAAACATGTTATCATTCTTCTATCTGTCTTTCTGCCGAGGTATCGCAGCTCCCGCTGACTTATTCAACAACTTGATTGAGAGCCTCCTGGGTCGTCCCCATGCACCAATGGCAGCAAAAGTAGAGGGTTAGGGTATTTTCACCAGAATACTACTAGTACTCTATGCATAGAGTCAGTAGGCTATTGCTCTTGTACAATGGCAGCTTGGTGGCTGCCTCGGGGTCGGCTCGCATGCTCGCCCCCCCCTCGAATATATGACAGCCAATCCTATCAGCCTGTGTGCATTGCTCTTGTACCTTAATGGCAGCTTGGTGGCTGCCTCGGGGTCGGCTCGCATGCTCGCCCCCCCCTCGAATATATGACAGCCAATCCTATCAGCCTGTGTGCATTGCTCTTGTACCTTAATGGCAGCTTGGTGGCTGCCTCGGGATCGGCTCGCAGGCTCGCCTCCCCCTCGAATATATTACGGCCAATCACAGCCTGTATATTGCTCTTGTACAATGGCAGCTTGGTGGCTGCCTCGGCGTCGGCTCGCAGGGCTCCCCCCCCTCGAATATATGACAGCCAATCCTCTCAGCCTGTATGCATTGCTCTTGTACCTTAATGGCAGCTTGGTGGCTGCCTCGGGGTCGGCTCGCAGGCTCGCATAGCCTATATTGCTCTTGTACAATGGCAGCTTGGTGGCTGCCTCGGGGTTGGCTCGCAGGCTCGCCTCACAGCCTTTAAAAATGGCAGCTTGGTGGCTACCGGTACGGGTACTAGTACGGTACCTGGAGATCGGCCCCAGTAGCTTTTTAAAACCTTTAGACCTCGGCAGTCTATCTGCCTGAGCCCTCACCCCCTTTTTTGGTATTTCCTGTTTCCTGTTTCCTGCTTCCTGTTTCCTGTTTCCTGCTTCCTGTTTCCTGCTTCCTGTTTCCTGTTCCGGTGAAGCCAAAATATAGAGATAGAGATAGGAACAAGCCAACTCTACAAATTTAGGGGTAGGAATAAATCATGGATATTCAAGGTTAGTGCACTCAACACAATAAGCCAGCAGAAGCTACAAAAGTTACAGGTACATACGGGAGTGACAGCTGTAAAATTATGGTTAGCAGGCGGCAACACACGACGAAGTCGGGTGTTGTCGCCAGGGCTACCTTTTAAAATAAAAAAGAAGGTTATAATGAGGGAATCATACGGGGCGGCAACACACGACGAAGTCAGGTGTTGTCGCCAGGGCTACCTTGAAAGAAGGGTGCAATCTCAAACATGTCATCCTTCTTCTGTCTGTCTTTCTGCCGAGGTATCGCAGCTCCCGCTGACTTAAATAAGTCGTAAATATCACAAACGGATAGCCTTAGCCTTAGTGACTTTTAATCATTCTTTATCGAACCGTTAAAAAGCACTTACGTCTTTTTATGTGGATCATGGACCGTTGGTGTCTACCGTGTCATTGCATCATCTAATTTCAATACAATTGTCCAGAGTAGCACGCCTGTGCTCCCCAAAGACTGAGAGTCCTCACAGCAGCTTAAGGTGGTTCCTCCCAGGATGTAAGCCAGCGTAAAGCTGTTAATAATACTCACTCTTTACACGGTGCTATCGCGAGAACAACAAGAACAACAATCGATCGACAGCTGCTGCTAAAGGTGGGCTGGAATCCCTGCTAGTCCAAGCCACACACCTTTTACCCATACAATAGCTGTTGCTAATAGTACGTGCGACAGGTTCATGGTGGGTTATGGGGTGATATTTCCTCCACCTATTGAGTTTGGTGACCTGTCAAAAGGGATGTCGACTTTTTCCATTCGGCTGCTCGACGCCCTTAGATCTCGACGGCTGCTGGTAGTATGGCCCCAGAACCAAAGGCTACTCTCTTCCTTACAGTATTAGGAAGCGATAACGCTTTGGTTGCAGGGCCATACTACCAGCAGCAACTGAGATAATGAGGTCGACATCACCGCGATGGAGTGGTTGTCGGTTCTTGTGGTCAACCACCAATTGCGTTTTCGAAAAGGAATCTCGCTTTTCCAAACGATCGAACTCAAATATTGCCTGAAACGTGTTATCCTACTGTTTTACTATACAAATATCACCCGATATCGCAAGCCAGTCATTGGAGCACAACAAAAATGTGAGAACTAACACTCAACCCTTGCAACGGCCACAATTTGGCGAGTCGACACGCGCGGTCGATCTCTGATCGACCTCTGATCGTCATCATTACTTAAAGGACAATACCTAGAATTATGGCTCATCATTACTTAAAGGACAATACCTAGAATTATGGCTCGAACTTGAAAAGAGGGAATCCAGCGAGATTCTAATCAAGATTCCATGTAGAAGATTCCAAATTCCGAAATTTATACGAAACATAGGTGCGAAAGCATGGACAATACGTATGCAGCTTTCAGCTGGCTTACATCCTGGGAGGAACCCCTTAACTGGATGTCAAGATTGTCACTGCCATTGTGGACGAGGAATCGAACGATGACAAGTTTACTGTGCCAGGATTAGGGGACTATGGGGATCGGTTCTTCAACACGGTATGATGAAATATTCATTTTGTTGGTATTGGAGCGTCTAGAAGCAATTCTTGAATACCACCATACATAATATAGGATACGTGGATTATTATTTTGGCCTTGCCTGTTTTACATGCTCCATTGCCTTCCAGCAATATAATTACATTACTCCCCCTTGATGTAGACACTCTCGGGGGAATCTGGTCGAAACACGGGTTGCAAGCCTTCTTCAAATTCTTGGAGTGCCTCCGACTCGATCCCATAGTTTTCTCCAATAATGATGCGGGCTTCCTTGGCCACTTGTCGAACCGATTCGACCATGTTGGCCGCCGAGGCTGGATCGGTTCCTCCCGCCTTTTCGACGGTCCGAATTTGTTTGATGGCATTGCCAATGGCATCGACCAACAGAGGCGGTGGCACCAGGATGCGTGGTTCCCCTTCCAGTTGAATTTCGGTTCCATCCGGAGCGGTAATGACATTGGGTTGAGGACACAGATAATGTTTTAGTTGATTGGCGCGAATGGAATCGATTTCGGTACGGAGCAATTTGTTGAGTAAGGCAATACCCGGGGGTACATTCTTTTCTACTTCTTCTTGGCATCTCGTGTAGACATGTTGCAGTACTTGGACGCGACTGGCTTCTCCTTCTTCCGCGGCAGCGGCTGCCTCTTGGGCGGCATTTTGTAGATTCATTTGCAAGACGGAGAAAAAGGCGGCATCCAATTTTCCATCTCGTGCCGCCTTGCCAATCAGGGCGTCCATTTTGCGAATTTCTCCCGCGTCCAGTAGAGACTTGAGAATATCACGGGCTTGTTCCAGTTGTGCTTCTAGAACACTTCCCAAAGCATTGGCAACAGCCTGGACGGTTTCATTGGGATCTGCCAGAGATTGCTTCAATTTCATAATAATGGCAGGGTTCATGGTAGGCAATTGTTCCAGCAAGGTAGATTTCAAGGCTTGAGCATCCTTGACAGCGTCTGCAAAGGTATTCTCCAGAAACTGAAGCTCTTCCGAAGAAAAGACAGATCCATTGGCTGTATCGGTCGAATCAGATGAGGTGGAAGCCATGGGCAACGAAGGCCCCGTTCTTGCAATTTCTATAGAAGCCAAGCCATCATGACGGTGAAGGCTCAGGGATGCCCGACGGCAAGATACCGAAATACTCTGAAAGGCAGACACTTGGGTTGCCGCCAAACAAAAGTGGATCACAATCAACCTGGAAAATCTCATTTCGGAAAAGACAGCACCACAAACAGATAATAATGGCTAGCCAGTGATGAACTCTGGCGAGTAGTTGGTGGCTTCCTAAAGGTTGCTCGTGGTGGCAAGATAGGTAATAGCAGACACTAGCTAGCTAGACTAAGCTTTTCAGCGGTGTTCAAGTTAGTGGCAACCGAGCAACCAACAAAAAATGGGAGACTGACGTATTTTGCCGAGACGTTCACGGGACAGTTGCAGGTCACGAATTAGTCGTCAATACCTTCCTCAGACCTCACATTTTCGAAGTTTTACCTCGGCAGGTAAACTGCCTGAGTTCTCAACCCCTTTAATGCTATTTCCTATTTCCTATTTCCTATTTCCTATTTTCTATTTCCTATTTCCTATTTCCTATTTCCTATTTCCTATTTTCTATTTTCTATTTCCTATTTCCTATTCGGGTGAAGCCAAAGCATAAGGATAGAGATAGTCATAAGTCAACAAAACTGAACATTGATGGTTCAATACAAGTTAGGGGTAGGAATAAATCATTAATATTTAAGGTCAGTGCAATCAGCACAACAGCACAATAAGCCAGCATGAGTTGTAAAGGTTAGAGTTACATACAATAAGGGAATGGCAGCTGGTAAATTATAGAGTAGCGGGCGGCAACACACGACGTAGTCGGGTGTTGTCGCCAGGGCTAGCTTAATAAAGAAGGTTGCAATGAGGGAATGAATGATACCGGGCGGCAACACACGACGTAGTCGGGTGTTGTCGCCAGGGCTGGCTTGAAAGATGGGTGCAATCTCGAACATGATCCTCCTTCTTCCATCTGTCTTTCTGCCGAGGTATCGCAGCTTCCGCTGACTTATTGTTTCTTCTTTCAGATTTTGCGTGTGTTGTTGTTGTTGTTGCTTCCGAGTCTTGGCCAGTGCTTGGCTTCATCGGCCAAATCAATGGACTGAAATGGCGAAGACTGTCAGACGATCGAAAGGAGCATACCGGTTGGCTATTATCCTATAGTACCGGTACCGGTACGTAGATGCATAACTGTTATCTTCGGATTGGAGCAAGCGAACAGCATGGCGAAAGCTAAGAACGAACCGGCGATCGTTGCCAACGATGGTGCCATTGTGGCAGTGCTACTATTGATGATGGTTGCTCTAGCTGCCGAAATGGTCTTCTGCATCATCCTCTATGCAACAAATCAAAAGCGAATTGCGAAGCTGATCAGCGGTTGGTCCAATGTGGGGAATGCCATGATCCACATCCTTCTGGCAGTCGTCCTCTATTCGGACACGGAGAGATGTTTACAAGCCGGCATTGACGATGCCGAGAACTTTGCAGGGCCTCTCGTCTTGGTGTTCATTAATGGGGCGATTGGACTGAAGACGCTTACATCAGGAGGACCGTTGCTACCCTTGGGATGGAATGTCTTTGTGGCGATCACGGGCAGTCTCGTTCCCATTGTGTGGCCCAAGTTTGTGGATGTTGGGCTTTCGACGTGGCCTTATCTGATTGTTGTGATGTGGTTTGGGATCTTCTGCTTTGAGAGCCTGGCCTTTACGGCTTCTTGTGCGTGGTATGGACTGAGGAACTCAGAAGAGAAAGCAAAGACTAGCTAGATGCTTGCCACTGCTAAAGCCTTCATAAGCTGTCACAAGACACAACAATGACCCTCACAACAATCAAGGGGAAGAATAGATGTAGATTATCTTGTTCTTCATCATTGGGATGAGTTGAGCCGGTCCTGGCGCACAAAAGACTGACCGTAAGCGCTTCAAAGACAGTCGTGCGCGTGGAGGGAACAACCCTCCAAGTTGCTTTGGGCAATTCCCCTTGAGGAATGGGGGATCAAAAGGATGCAAGATTTGAATTATTTTCTGGCTCGCTCTCCTGCATTTGGGAGGCATGGTGTGTCAATTCCTGCGCCGTTGTCGCGACTTAAAGGAGAGGAAATCAAGCATCGGGATTCCGGCTGGTCTTGAAGGGTTCAAAAGTTCAGGCTGGTCAAAAGTGGATTGATTGGTCGAATCCAATGGACATCGTGGAGAACCAAAGTGGAATTTGAGCACATTTGTCTGTGGGATGACTCGCGAGTTGCTCTGCCCATGATTGGCAATTGATTGCTACAGGATTCGCTATCTAGAGTTTTTTACGTACAACTGGGTCGAAGATTGGAACGACGCCTGCGTCCACGCTTTGACGGCCAAAGGTGTTTGCAAAAGGTGTGGAAACCACCAGGGCCATAAACTAGTCTACTGCAAACTACCCAACGACAAGTTATCAAAGGTTTTTGCGGAAACACGTCGCTACGAAGCACTTGGAAGCGATCTATGCTGGTGTCTGCGATGGCATGGGCATCTGCTTGCGAGGGCGCTCCCTTCTATTTCCCACTGGGCGAGGCTGAAAGCTTCGAAGTGGGAAGAACATTGTGCTGGTCACGGGTTGCCAGCGGAAAAAATGCAGAATTTTCCATTCTCTATTGCTCCACCGGAGAAGTTTCCCCCGGGGTGGACTGATACCAGTTTCGTCCTGGGATGTAGGAGTCACCCCGCTGCCCGTCTCGGCTTCTTCAACAACAATCGAATGGGCTTCTTCTGTAGCCTCTACAAACTTAGCGCTAGCCAGCAAGAAGGCATCAGCGACGGCAGCATTGCCCGGTTCGGTTTCCATAACTGGATTGGCAACAAGTGAGGCCGATGACAATTCTGGTGAAGGTTGCCTCACTGGTCTGATGTTGCCCATGTCCAAGAAAGAAGAGTCGGAGGGACCAACCGCAGATCCTTTGAGATGTCTCATGTATCCTGGCAGCCACGAATGACCGACAGCAGGTGAAGACTGTGTTTCCGACGTTTCTGCCGAAGGCTGGCCGATTTCCTCGCCCAAGTCCAAGAAAGAAGAGCCCGAGGGACCCACAGCAGGGCCTTTGAAGTGTCTCATGTCTTCTGGCAGCCACAAAGGATGCCGAGCACGATGGCTGTTGGCGTTGTTTTCCGTTTGCAACCCTCTCCCTGCGCACGAACAGGGAACCACTGCATCGACGCTGCTCCAACGATTAAGTGCAGCACGATCTTGCATGCTTATCGGTACTTCAGGAAATAGGCGGTGAAGGAGCTGCACGCTTTGTGTATAGAAGCGTTTTGGCTTGTATTATGATACTGTTGCCAGTATCTTGAATGACAAGACTATGCACCATGTCCCGGACCCACCAACACCACGGTGCAGGACCAAGGAAACTAGACGGATGACCGACTGGGATAAATTTCGGGGCTTCCGTGAAACCTTACTTCTGCATTATTTGAAAACACGCTGTGAGAGCAAGGCTTCGCGAGCTGACACAACCGCACAGGGAAGCACGTTTAGAAGGGTAGTTGCGGTAAATATAGGGTTGCTAATTGATTCAATGATTCAATCCAAAATATACAATGTCATAATATAAGGATGAATCACGAAGTATTTCCACACCTACCTGAATTCAAAAGCTGCACTCTGCACCTTCAAGACTGATTTTTTGTTTGTTTGTAGATTGATCTGATCTTTGCATGATTCAATGTCAATCATCATGTGACGGAACAAACAGTGGCACTCTCCAATCGCTTTCCCCTTCCAATTTACGCAAAGCTTCAAAGATGCAACGAACTAGAGGCTCTTCCTCCACTCCCCTGCTCCTCAGGCTAGCTCTGCTGGTCATGATGTGGTCTGAAGGAAGCAGTAACGAAGAGATGCCCGAGATGATGCCATCCGATACCCTCGACGAAGGCGGATTCACAAACTTGACAGTTTCTGCCAACAGTTCAAATGTCACTGGCGACAATGTTGCCCCGCTGCCTCCTCCGGATCTGCCGGAAATATGCTCAGCTGCTTCTCTTACAACTACAGATGGATTTCAGCTTTGCCAGGACGCTTGTAGGAAGATGGAATGTTGTTGGAAGCTTTTTGTTGCTTCCTGTGTCTCCGAGCCTGTATGCCAAGGATACACGCCCTGCTCGAATTTGGTATCCCGAGGGATCAACCCCGTCGAGTATGCTTGCGACTATGAGTATGACCCTGCTGACTGTGTGTCCAAATGCGCCCAAGCGACATGTTGCTTCGCCACAGATATAGAAGCGTTTTGTGAACCAGACACCATTGTCTGCAGCTACTATGCAACTTGTGAGATCTTGTATAGAAATGCAAATGCCTACACCAATACAGCAGCAGAGGAGGCATGTTTCAGTAATTTACAGCAGGATCTTGCACCTTGTGTGGAAGTTTGTGCTGAAGCCATCTGCTGCTTTACAACCGATGCTTCCAAGGCTTGTGACGTGACAAACCCCACCCTTGACTGCAGCGAATACTTTGCTTGTGGGTTCTTGTTTTTCAATGAAATGAATGTGGTTGATCTTGCTTGCTATGGAGGGCACACTGATGAGTGCATTCGGCTGTGTGGTCCAAGTCCTTCATATCAAGCATGCCAAGTACTTTATTAGGGCCACACTCTTCCATCTTTCCACAACGAACCACTAACTGAAAACCCATGAGAATGAGCGCCAAGAATGCAAAAGAAGCCAAACAAGTTACTCTCTTACGAACAATAGTCTAATCTACAAGATGATGCAGTGGCCAGTCTTGGGAGGATCTGTGGCCGTAGGGCTGGAAGGAGGAGGTGCCTGGGTCCTCGGATGCCCTGGAGGTTTTGGGAGTGCTGCAGTTGGGTTGCCAACTAACCGCAGCACTTTCTTGTGGAACTCCAATATGTGCAAGTGCACTCTTCTCATCCGTATTTCTTGTGTTGGGGTTCTGATGGCATAACAAATCCATGCGTTGTCCCAGGAAGGTTAGTTTCTCATCTCTCGTTAATTCCGACTTTTGCATCATCGCCACACGGGTCAGTTTAGAACAGGCATACTCTGCTGACTAAGTGTCAAACCAATGGGGGTCAAACGCACGCTTCGGTCCTCATCATCTCAAGATAGTGTGCGGTAGGTAGCATCGCCACACGAATGGCAACTTGGCTGACCAGGAAGAGTAGATTGCCGCAGGACTCGGAAACTCTCCTCACCGAGGAGCAAACTTAGAACAGAGTTCCGAAATTCGGCCATGGCCAACTACTAACAGGAGGCAATACGAGATCATAGCTGCAACAAGTGTGGGATTTACCTCGTCTGTTGGAGCCTCAAAGCAATCTCATAGCTTTAGCCGCCCCCTCTTTCTAGATGATAGAAAAAAGTCCAAAGTTGAATGCAATCGGACCCCGTCCGAAAGCTAACAAGAACTACAGATCTCTTCCACTAGGCTGCCAACACTCTTCATAGTGCTATCGGAGAGTACGGGAAAGAGCTGGGGTGTAGAATGTATTTGATAAATGTATTTAGCATAGCTTTATTTGGTGTATCTTTATTTTGTGTTGTGTACTTCTAGCAAGTACAGTTTGTCTAAATTGTCAATGCCGCCCGCACTCAAGTCATTCGCCGTGAGGTACCTGACTCTCCAAGAGCCAAGCCCTGGCTTTTCTTTTATTGTTGCTTGAGTTTCTAATTGATTAAAAGGCAGCATCTTCAAACCTTCCCTTTTCACCCAACAGCTCACAAAAGTTGTACAGATGTTGGGAATCTTGAAAGGTATATCTCCTGAGGAGGAGACCTCCATCAATACCATCGAGACAGGCATATCCAATCAACACACTGGTGATGGCCGCTGTGTCATAGTTGACATAGTGTTCACCTCCGGCGGCCAATATCCGCAATTCATAGTAGGACTTGCCCGCATCGCCGACGGCATCTAGTTTCTTGACGGCTAGTTCAATGGTGTTTGGTTGCGGAGACCACACAACCTCCTTGCTTATTCTGATGGCTGGGTTGGTGGTAGCATATCTCTTGGTGGACTCGCAGACCAGTTGATCGACGAGATCGTCAATGGGCTCGTACGCAGAAGAGTTTTCGGAATCGATGGAACTCATGGAATCAGCACAACTGGAACTGAAGCTAGCACTGTAGTTTCCATCCGAGGAATCTAGACTGTACATGGAAAGTGATCGTCGTGTCAATGCCTTGGCTCCTTCGAAACGATAGTGGACGTTTCGGCAGATGCTTCGTAGTGGTAGGTGATTCATTTTGTTTTGGTTTTGCGATGTTTTTATGAGCTGTGCTTGGTGGTTGTGGATCTTGCTTTCTCGGAGTCGAGTTGTTTTGTGGAAGGTTTGTGCAACTTTTTGGGGATGGGAAGTGGGAAAGGCCAAAAACCTGGCAGATACGTGTGCAAGTGCTTCCACAATTTGACGACCAAACCAGTTAAGTGATCTATCTTGTGTGTGCCAGTACTGCCGGTACTGCTGCTGACTGACTACATACATGTATGCAGTTGCAAGCTGTTGTTTACAATTTTAAAATTGGTTTGTGTGCTCTTTATTCTGGTACACGCAAACCTTCATACTTCATACTTCATAGGACCGCAACGGTAGGAGACTGATTTATGGAACGGAAGCAACGGTGCGGGACTTATAAAGATGTTGGTAAAACATTCGCGGGTGTTCGACTGAGAGGGAGACCATTCTCTCTAACCCACATTCTCATACAATTTCCAGTGTAACTTGTGCTTTATAAGTAGAACTTACCTGCGAGGGAATGCTTGGGTCACAAGTGCCAAATGCTTTCTGTTGGGTCTTTAATTATTATGTGCATAAGGTGCTCCTGAACAGACGGTTCTACCCAGTCCCAGTGTTAGCTTATTGGGACGATGGAACAGGGAGATGAAGATAATAACTCCACAACGCAACAGCAGCCACGAAAATCATCTGGGCCATCCATCGTTTGCTAAACTGGACAATCCCTAGCTTGCTCGTGACAGTGAAAAGCGATGCGTTACTTACTTGTGCACGAAGCACGAAGAAAGAGGCCTGCTCATTGGATGTTACGTTGATACCCGAGAGTCAGAGTCATCTTGGTTCTCCTGCCAACTCAGGGTAGACTAGCTAGTAAGCAACTCGATGTCTGATAATTCCCGCCCAAGGAAGCCATCCGCACAATGCACTGCACTGCGATAACTCGGCTCTCGCCTATCATGTTCCTCTTTGGGCCATCGAGTCATCTGTGATGCCTGATGCTTGACCATAATATTTTATTGTCCCACTCGGGGGCACACAACAGGGTAAGCAACTCGATAGTTCCCCGGAAGCAACAAATGAATATCCACGTAGCACCATTGAAACCCTCCTGTAAGTTACAGGAGGGTGGCACCGTGGCACCTCTCGACAATTACCAGGTCGTCATCAGCCAGGAGCCTTTGCACGTACACCTCGAGGATCGCTCATCCCACTCCCACACAAAAGTCAACACTTACTACTATCCGGCTAGTACCGTATGCAAATGCAATGAAGCAACTATCTAGTTAGAAGCAACACAAAATGATCTAGCTAGTAGCCACGCTGAACCTACCTCTCGACAGAGCGCCCCGGTCATCAGTCTTTCAAGATCATCACATCCCTCAAACAAAAGTCATGACCTCTACTACTCGACTACTCCAACAGCTCTAGACTCATAGGTTGAGCAGCTGGTTGAGCTGCATCGTATTATTCAATTTAGCTCTGGGCCTCAGCCCCACCATAGCCCCGTGACTCCACTGCCTCGACTCACTCACACAGCAGCTCGTTGGTTCCGAAACTTAGGCTAGTAGACCACTAGCTAGCTAGCTAGCTAGCTAGCTAGATCAGACTAGTAGCAATAATATCTCCATCTCCCTTGACCACATTTTAGCAGTACTGAGGCATCTATTCGGCACTGGTCTTCCGCGATTCATCAAAATACATGTTTCACACACACTTTACTACCAGTACTAGTACTAGCTAGTACACTGTACCTTCAACAACCTTGAAACCCAGTTTATACTGGTGAACTCCAGCGTTCAAAGATTTCTTTGGAGGGGCCCCACTAGACTACTTACGGGGGAAGAGCCAAAGGCCAAAGAGAAGTTGCTGCCGAAGTCATTTGAATTAGGATGATCGCCGCAGAGTCACAGAGTAAAACATGCATGATGTGTTGGGAGAGCTGTTGGGAGTTATCAGGAGAGGACATCCGGGAATACAGCTCCCTGCAAAACCCACAAGCTGCCATGCTTACCGGTAAGTGCTTGGAGATGTTGTGGGACTGTTCATTGGATGGTCTGGACCTGTGTTATTGGAACTTGGACGAATGCTTGGCTGAAGACAAGTGGTTGTGGGAGAGCCACCCCCAGTAGTAGCTAGCTAGCAGTTACTAGTAGCCTTGAAAGTCCACAAGAGTCTAGCTAGTAGATCAGCTGGCTAGTACCACGAAGAAGCCTCTCTGGATCTGGAGGAAGGTATCATGTACCCAGGCACAAACCCAGGTGCACCAAGGCTCAGTCGAGGTCGTCAGTCAGGCAAGGTAAGCAACCTACTAGTCCATGGTGTAACCTAGCCAGTCAGCAGTCGATGATTGTTGCTTGCCGTGTGTTTTCATTTCTTTTGTCGTTCACCAATCCTGTGTAGACTGGGTTCGGAAGCAACCTGCAGCGGCATGCTCTCCTCTGCTTCCATGTTGCAGCTCCGCTCCCTCATATATTGCCCGCCCGCTTGTTGCACTGTGAGGCTAGTCTGAGATCCACTGCCCACTGGAAACATGCTTCAAGTTGTGTAATTGGCAATAATAAAAATTGGCAATAATAAAAATAAAGGGGTGTGCTTTTCTAGCTATGTCTGGCCCTCAGAATGGGAACTTCAAGACAACGAAATGAAGTGTGATGCAAAAACAACCATCCGAAGTGAGACCACATTTCCTTAAAGTCCCATACTGTAGCTACTTCAATGAGTTCCGTAGTCTGTTGCTTAGTCTGGCATGCATGAAATTGGAGTTTGGTACCGGTAGAGAGAGCGCCTTCTGGGGAAGGCTTTTGACCGCGCAGTTTTCTCTTATGATAGGTACCGGTACCAATTGCAAATACAAGTATTTCCCTTCTACTGGGACGCCAATGAACAGCACCCACGGCATTGAAGATTCGATTAGGTTAGACTACCTTGAGCTCAAACCGCGTGCTTTGCATAGTCCTCGACCTGGGCCCCGACTGTGGACATGTACTCACTAACTTCGGAAGGAAACTCAACCCCCTTGATGCATGTGAGGCGTCGCAACCAGGGAAGAAAGAGGACGTCATCCATACCAAACCCCCAAGAATTGAGGCACTTGTCGCCTTTCAACATTGCCGGAATTTCTGCCAACTTGGCATTCAATGTCTTGATAGCAGCAGCATCCTCATCGTTCTCGTAAGAAAGGATATCTCCCTTTTTCTTGTGCTTCCACACGTGGTAGGATACGTCCCTCTTGTCAGCCCAGTCCGCAACTGGCATCTTCGTCAATTTTACGAGCGTCAATGGGTTCATCACCTTTTTGTCCAGAAGATAGTCTGTCAGTTCCTTTACATCAGCTCGTCCCGTGGCACAGGGTACCACCAGTTGATGGCGTCCGATGAGAAAGGAACAAATCTCGAGAGATTCAGGCATCCCAACAGCTCCAGGAGCACACGGGACACCAGGTCCTTCGAGAACTGGTAGTTGCTTCTTCCCCGTCAGCTTCCTTGGATTTAGGTCGCCATCATAGCCTTCTCCTTCGCATTCTTTTGGAAGAGCACCAGAGCCATAACCATAAACTACCTTCTTGTACTTGATCCCAAAGTGGTCCATCAAGAAGGCTACCCGATTGCCAAACGGACAATGATCGTAGCAATGGAACGTATATTCCACGTCCTGGTCAATCATCCTCTCTTCCTCCTCCTCCTCCTTCTCTTAGTAGTAGTCGATCAAGTTGCGACAATCTAAGAACCTTTACTTCGTCGATGGGGTCTTCTTCTTGACCCACCCTAGCACGCAACTCGGCATACAGAATTTTGTCAAGCTTTACCTCGGCAGTCTTGCTGCCAGAGCCCTCAACCCCTTTAATTGTTTTTCCTGCTACGGTGGTCCCTGCAGGTATAAGGGTAGGGTTAGAATACAAACAAGTCAGCAAAACTAAATAGGTATCCTAGCTAGGATGGTGCTTTTAAAAATCAGCTAAAGCTATTTACATGCATCCTACTAGGGGGATTTGCTTCTACCAGGAAAAACTCTAAAGCCAGCGAACGCTATATAACTAGGATTCTAGCTAGCTAGGGGTATCTGCTTCTAGCTTGCTATGGGAATCTGCTTCTAGCTAGGGGGGATCTACTTCTAGCTAGCTAAGCACAAGCTAAGCACTAGCTAAGCACTAGAGGTATCTGCTTCTAAGCTACTGGAACGCTGTGGAAATCGCGGTAACTTGTTAGTCGTGCTTCCGATTTTGTCTAATTTTGAAATAAGACAAGATTGAAAACACGGTTTTGTCCTAATTCTCAATCTTGTCTTCAAATCTTGTCCTATAAGCCGGATTGGCTCTTCCGGGCTTGTCATATAGGACAAGGTTGCTGTCTCTAAATCTTTCATCTTGTCCTAAGTCTTCAAGCCAATTTTCAACGACACTACTAGTAGCTATTACAAGACGACTATGACCGTACTCCATCTATCGACAGCTAGGAGGCTTTGTTCTTCTTCTTTATCTTTGGTTTCAAGCGCTTCTTTCCTTTCATATCCAATGTATGCAGATATTTCTTTATTTTGGCTAGCTAATAGATGTGATCTCTAAACACTTTCAGGGGGTAAGGATCGTATTGATCTCGAAGGCACCAAAGATCCGCGGGTTCTAGCGTCTCGAGTAAGCCAAGCTCGATGTCTTCTTCCAATTTCTTTTTTGCTTCTGATCCATCCCATTCCGGGGAGCAGAGAATTTGTGCACAACATTGTTTGTGAGGAAATTGCTGAATGCAGCCTTGTCGGTTCTAGAGAGGTGCCGCTTCACAATCTTTCAAAGGCTTGAAAGTCGTGTCGAGAAGTTTTTGTACACATGAAGAGCATATTCGGGACGGCTTGTAAAGATCTCACTGGTTGGCATTACTTTGTCGGGCTGTCTCAGAATCACATTGTCGATAATATCTGCATCAAAAGTACGGAGGAATTCACAAGCTAAAGGGCCCAAAGGTGCTGCAAAAGCTTCTCGACAAGCACAACTCGGACGACAAAGCTTTGTACGGAGAAGTTGCCTCGGCTCTTCGTACCAAGATTAGCAACAAGGTAAACAAGTGGAAATTGTTGTCACAGGATCAGTGGCGGAGCAGAGTATTGCTGAAGCTAGAAATTCCAGAAATGCCCACCAAGAAAGAGAAAGAACGAGAAAACCGATTCTTCGATCAGCTCAAAGGAAGACGAAGATGAAGACGACGAACTGCCTGTTCCAGCAGTGATCGAGACGCCCACCAAACTACCCAAGAAGAAGCAGGAAACGCAGGAAACTCCGAAGTCAACACCAACAAAGCAGCAAGGGATCGCCAAGATCAAGAAATCTACCCCAACAAAACATCTTGCTGCCAGTCTCGACAATTTGAACTTGGGCAACAGCAACTCTAGCATTCGTACGTGCTGAGAAATGGAATAATGTTTGTTCTTGGTTGTTCTCCTCACTGCCTTTTGCTTGTTTCTTAGTTCCAATCCAAGTCGATATTGAAAATCCGGCAAATAATGGGCCACTTCAGGTCTACGAGCTCGGCCAGATGCTTGAGGGTGTGGGCGACCACAAAGGATATCTCTATTATGGATACGCTATTGTTCTTCTATTGGATCTCTGCTGGATTTTGGACGATCTGATGACCTTTTGGTATTCGGCGCGTATTACGAGCAGCAATGAGATATTGGTCAAACTCCCCGCCTGGGATTACAATCAGCGGTTCCATCGAGATGCATTTGAAGCATCGACAACGAACGCTGCCAAAGGACTTGCGGGTGCATTGGATCATAGTCATGACAAGCTCAAGAAGAAGCAACCAAAGGGAGGGCCGGCTATCAAGCAGTTCCAATACTATCGACTTGTGTTTCCGGATGATCACGAGTTCGATGCCAAGACTATTTTTTCCGATTCTGGAGAGGACAATTGGCTTCAGCTTTTGATTGGAACTGTGAAGATTGACCATCAACTTGCAAAGGTGAAGGACCGAGAAGACAATTACGCAGTCTTTTTGGTTGTATGCGATCATCTCACCAGTCGCAAAAAGGGAAAGACGGAGGAGAAGGCCACCATGAGTGATGCCAGCAAGATTCTTGCTAGCCTTGGCTACACTGTTCCAGGTCCGTAGAAAGCAGGCTGCAAACTTGCCATTTGCTTTTAGTGTAGTGATCTAATGAAAAATGTTTTTGTTACTCATTTTGTTGCCTCAGTAGCTGTGCCATCGCCATATCCTCCAATCGTAGCACCAGCACCATCTCCTCCAGTGCTGCCCTCTCCAGCACCAGCTCCTCCGATTGCTCCGGTGCCAGTTCCGGCACCAGCTCCAACAAGGGAGAAGAGGCGAGCTGGAAAAGACAAGGCAGTTACCACCTCATCGCTTGCCCGAGCGGCAGCAGGCAGCAAGGGGGGAGGAGCACTGCAAGAACTGATTGATGTCGCTACTGACCTGAAAGCATTTATGAGTGCTGACTCGACAAACAAACCAAAGCGAACAGCTGGCGATTTGTCTTTGAACGATGATGCTCGAGCTGATCTCGCCGATCAATACGGCGATACACACGGCGATATGGAGGCCGAGCAAAGATGGATGACGAAGAAGAAGAACAATATTTTGATTACGACCGAGAGTCGGATGACGATATCTAACAAAATAGCTAGATGCTAAATTACTCAGAGCTCTAGCTATCCTGCATTCCATCCACCAATACATGGTAGATTGGGCTGCCCAAATCCATCTTGTAGCAGCAAACAACAGTGACAGCCTCAAAGCAGCTTGTGAAACGGTAGAGTGGGTGCATGAATCGGCTGCTGAGAACCTTGAATTCTTTTGTCATGTCATTCAGCTTCTCGTGCCGTTTGAGAGCACGGCGCTTGAATTTTTTTACGATTGGCTCGTGACAATTGTTGGGTGTGCTCATGACATTGAAATCTTCCTCTGCATGATAGCCACTGTCCCCAATTGCTTTCTGCTTGCGTTGCCGAAGCTGATCTCTGAGGCCACGTTCGTGAAAGGTTGACAAGTCTGGCTCACCAGCCCGAAATGGTCCATTCATCCAAAGCAACCGACTATCTTTCACAGAAATGCCAAATTCATAGTTCATTCCAGCCTTGTTGTATTTGTGGGAATAATACTCAGAAACTTGAGAGAACTCTGGGTGGCTCGGCTCATGTATCTAGCAATGGGTCCCATCAACAGTAATCGCCCAAATGTCATCAGCAGCATAATGCAATGGCCAGACAATTTTTTCGTGCTTCAATTGTTGGATTCTCTCAACGTAAAACCAAGTCCAGTCTCTGCACGTGTCACGATGAAATCCCGTCGCTGCAGCGCGCTCATGCTCTGTTGGATATTGCATGGACATGAGAAAATAATCCAGCCGATTGATCCAGAATCTACGCGGCATTCTTCATTCTCAGATCGTTGGAGATCTTCAAAGATGGCGCACAGCACGGTTGGAGATGCTCCATATCGCGACAAGAACCTTTCGATGCTGGTTGATTCCTTGCAACGGTCGACAGTCTTCATGGAATAATCGGCAAACAGCAACACCCTCTCTAGCATCTCGCTAGGAGTGAGAACCACAAGCTGCCCTATGTCGTTCTCATCGTCGTAGTCGTCTTCGATGTCGGCCATGGTCTCCTTTGATTGTTGCTGTTGAGTGGTGTCATTGGTTTCTGCTTGTCATTGGTTTCGTGATCTTGTCTTAAATCTACCAGTCTTGTCACCCAATCTTGTCTAGTGAGAATTATAGGACAAGATGTCGTGTCCTAATCGAGAATTAGGACAAAACGAGATTTCCAATCTTGTCTTAATTCCAAACCATCTTGTCTATACACGACTGCCCATTCCAAAATGTTCCTGTAGCTAGCTAATAGGGGGATCTGCTTCTACACTGAAACCTTTCTGCCGAGGTTACACAGCTCCGCTGGCTTATTTTTTAAGTTAAAAAAAAAGATCGCGATCCTTTGACTCCCGCGAGACTCGACTGAACTTCAAACCAGCGTCCGGGTACCGTACCTGGACTATCCGGCAATTAGGCCGGTCTCTACCGGAGCGACTAAGGGACCGACTAAAGGAAACCTTTAGGTGGTTGTTTAGTTCAAGATTTAGTCATTATCCTTTAGTAATGGTGGTGTCTACCAGCAGATGACTAAATCTCGGACTAAACAATTTAGTCAGTTCTTTAGTCATTTGGACCTGTCTACCCAGCACTAAACAAATGACTAAACGGAACACTAGTGGACTTAAAGGACTCAAACAAGATTTAACAAACGTGATCACTTGGTGGGCTACCAATATTCTATCAGCATGGTGGATTTAAAGGACTCAAACAAAGACTTAAAAGAAGTGATTACTTTTTTGAGATAACAAGACTCAAAACACACCATTGCGATGCACCTCTACTATCATTCAATCGTTCGATCTTTTGCATTTATTTGATCGTTCACACCTCTCCTCTATTGGCACTGATTCGATGGCCTAATAGTGGGGCTAGGAGTGTGGAATTTGTTATCGGCCGATACTCCTCTTCGATCGTTCGATCGTTTGCACCTCTACTACTCCTCTTCGATCGTTTGATCGTTTGCACCTCTACCGGTACTATCGGCCGATACTCCTCTTCGGTCGTTCGATCCGATACTCCTCTTCGATCGTTCGATCGGTTGCACCTCTACTCTATCAGCTCTGTCGCGATGCTCTGATAGTGAGGCTGTGCAATGAGGGTGCTGTTCTTTTTTCAAAGTGCTGTTCTTTTTTTAAAGAGTTCTTAAAGAAGCTTTAGTCGTTATGTTCGCTCACCGACTAACCAGCCTCCCGTTAGTCGGTGAGCGAACATAATGACTAAAGCCTTTAGTC